AGCCCAGAGCCCATGAGCGCATCACGCTCCAGATGGCACACCAGTTGACGCAGATCCGCGCTAGCCCTAGAGAAGATACTGATGCGGCTGCGGCTCTGCATGACACATGGGATCTCCAAGGCTGTCAGGGACCTCCAGGGCTGAACCAAACTCCTTTGGGCGCTAGCGCTCGAAATTTCCCCTCCATGAGTTGCAAGATTCCCCGCTTACGCGACTTTGTCAGGAGTCCGAGATGGCTGCGAAGACGGACAGCATGAACGGTGCACACGCGGGAACTGCCAGTGGCGCGAGTGTCCACGATGCCGGCGACTCGAGATTCCAGACAGACAACACCATGTCCAGGAAACCACAACCGAAACAGCAACTCTCCAAAGCAATGGAGCACATGCGCTTCGCAGTCACGGTCGATCCTGTTCCGCATACTCCAGCTTGCACGCCGCCACCAGAGGCTCTGACGGCCACATCGCCAGCCGCCCTCGACTCCGCCGAGAACGACGCTTATGGAGTGCCTGCTTCTCTACAACCCGTGCGCGCCCCACCGTCTCGCTCCCACGACCCAGACAACAATCAGAAGCGCAGCGATCCCTTTGCGTTCGGTTCGCGCTACCTGGAGGAAGGCGACAACATCTTCGAGTTCAACGCCTGGGACCACGTAACCGTCGACTCCAACTACCTCGCCTTTTCAGAAGAACAGTATTCCAGACAACGGCAAGAGCCGGTTTCCGACTTTGATCGCAAACGCTACAACGCCCAGCCCGAGAAGTGGTGGAACCAGTTCTACAAAAACAACAAGACCAACTTCTTCAAGAACCGCAAATGGCTGGCACAGGAGTTTCCTATTCTAGAAGAAGTGGGCGCCGAGGATGGGCCAGAGGCTACGCTGTTGGAGGTCGGCGCCGGGGCAGGGAACAGCGCCTTTCCCATCCTGCAGAGAAGTCGGAACCAGCGGCTGAAGATACACGCGTGTGACTTCTCCAAAAAGGCAGTCGAGCTCATCCGCAACCACGAACTCTACGACCCGGAGCGCATACAAGCTGACGTCTGGGACGTGGCCGCCGCTCCCGACTCGGAGAACGGCGGGCTCCCCCCAGGTCTGGCTGAAGGCAGCGTAGACGTTGTGCTCATGATCTTCATCTTCAGCGCGCTGAGTCCCAAGCAGTGGGACCAAGCCGTCCGCAACATCTGGCGGGTTCTCAAGCCGGGCGGCCAAGTCCTCTTCCGCGACTACGGCCGCGGCGACCTCGCCCAAGTCCGCTTCAAAAAAGGCCGTTACATGGAGGAAAACTTCTACGTCCGCGGCGACGGTACGCGCGTCTACTTCTTCGAGCAGTCTGAACTCGAGGATATCTGGGGCGGCGCCAGAAAACGCGATACTACCATTGGCAACGTGGCGGACACCACCATATCCCAAACCGAGGCCGAGGGTGTCATCGCGGATAAGATGGAGAGTCTGTCTCTCCACGATCCTGGCATGCAGACGAGAGAGCAGAGCCACGATGACGTCAACGATCTGGACACTCCCAGGCCGGGTTTTGAAATTGCGCACATTGGCGTCGACCGACGGATGCTGGTCAACAGGCAGAGGAGGCTGAAAATGTATAGGTGCTGGATGCAGGCTGTGTTTCGCAAGGCAGGCATGGAGAGCGAGGTGCCAACGAGCACGCTGAGGCAGGACAAAGAAGACGCTGCAGAGGAAGAGGAAGAGGGGCAGAGTGGCGTGGGAAAGGAGGATGCAGTGGAGGGAGGGGGCGTTAAGGTTTGAGGGTCTGAATCGTGAGGGTGGAATGCAAAAGTTGCAGTGGTGGCCTGTAGTGGGGATGAATGATACCATGACATATGAGAGAGAAGACGTTGTGAAAGTAGAGTATACTATGCGTCAAACCACTGTTGTAGTTAGAAAGCAGCGCTAGAGAGCACACTTGATTGACCCGTCGTGTTGTCTCCCGCCTCGTGGGCCTCATGGATCATACACAGCAGCAGATGCAAAAGCGTTTGGTCGAGAACGCACTGGATTGTGGTGTACTATGAGACAAAGACCGCTATGCTACGCTAAACTACCAGGCTCGTGATACAAGCTATGATGCGAACCCAACACCCAATGCTGCGCTTTCCAGAACCAGCACCTATAGAGCCTCAATCGAGGGTATCACAAGAACCGGTGCAAAGCCTACCCTCAGTCCACAATCATGACAAAACTTCCCTGCACACGTCTAGTTCCCCTCAAGAATCCCCTTGAGAATACCTGCTCCAGGTCCTACGAGTGAATCCGCCAACTCCTTTTCTCCAACAACACTAGCAACCCTGCGATCCTCTACCGCAACCCCGGGGAAGGCTTTGCCCCTGCCTCTCCGGCTCGGCGTGCCAGCGCCAACATCCAGCGACCCTGCTTTGCCCTCCACCGCTGAGACAAGCGAGAGTGTTTCCAGACTGCTCACAATGTCTCTGAACTCTGTGCTCGTCAGAGGATGCAGTATGTTTTCTCGTCTGCATAGCACGGTGTAGGCTTCGAAGAGTTCCTTGATGCTAGGGGATGTAGTGTGGGATCGGGAAGGTGTGGCCAAGATGCTATCGGCGGCAGTGGCGCGCTTCTTCTTCTCAATAGCAGAGAGTGAGCAGAGAACGGCTTTTTGTTGCAGATTGAGGTTCCGCAGGCGTTGGCTGGTGCCGTTGCTGAAGACAGCTGCTGTGATTCTGGCCATGTGGGCAATGGTGGCGCGCGGTGCAGTTTCGACGGTGAGCGAGGCGAGGGAAGCCGCGATGACGCTGTTTAGGTCTTTGGTTTTGGCGGGAGAGCGGATGGCCGGGGAGGAGAAGTTGATGTTCTCTACAAGCGGTGTTTTCGAGGGCGATGGCGTGGGAGATGGTGTGATTTCTGTGGCTTTTTTCGCGTGTCGGTCGCGCGTGTCGGCTTCGACGAGGTCGATTGCTCGCCGGCAGATGTCAAAGGCTTTGCGCAGGTCGCCGGACTGGGCGGCTACCTTTTTGGAGAGGAACACAATGGCGGTTGGGTGGATGAAGGGCAGCTGTGTTGAGCCGGCTGGGAGAAGGGCTTTGAGTTTGGCAGTGATGACGGAGGAGATTTGGGCGGCATTGTATGGGAGGAAAGGCAGTAGCTGTGGCTTGAGACCGCGGGCCTTGAGTCGCGGGAGAAAGCGATCCGTGAGATCCAGCGCGTTGGCAATGCCGACCAGCACCAGCCCCGATGCCTTTTGTAGTGACCACTCGAAGATGTTGTAGAAGAGCTCGACGTCGAGCTCGAGCAGGTGGTCCACTTCGTCGAGGGTAACAACATACGACGTCTGTCGCTGCATGAAGACGGTCCGCAGCGCTTCCATCTCGTCGCCCTCTGCAACTTCGGTGATGTCGACAAAGTCTTCGAGCAGCGTCCTGTACAGATCTGTAGCGTTCTTCACGCTCATGCAGTTGATGTAGCCGGTTCTGACAGACTCGTCCGCGGAGACGGTGCGGCAGACATCGTTGACAAAGGCGCTCTTGCCGGTGCCGGGCGGGCCGGAGACGTAGATGCAGCCTGAGGTCTTGGCCTTGGTTCGGCTTGTGATGAAGGCCGCGAGCTCCCTCCTCTCGGTGTCGCGGCCGAACAGCGCGGTGGGGGCAGAGCCTCTTGCGAAGACCTGGCGCGCTTCGTGGTAGATGGTGGGCGCGGTGCTGCGCGGAGTGCCTGGGGTGTGGGGAGTGCGAGGCGTCAGCGGCCGGCCGGCGATGATGAGTCGGTGTCTGGGTGTAACGGCCACTTTGCCGGCAAGTGTGTCGCGATGCCTGGGCGTCGAGGGGGTAGGCGCGAACTTGTCTGGCAGGTCGACGAGCGCCTTCTGCGGAGAGTTTTCTTGGGCAGGACTCGTGCGCGCCTTCCTTCCGCGTCTCGCCGCCGCCTTGTCTCCGGGCTCGTCCACATGCTGCTTCTTCGGGGTGACGAAGGGGTTCTCAATCTCGCCCTCATCGTGTATCACGAACTGCGTCCTCCGTTTTGCGCGTGTTGCGAGGTGGAGCTTGGATTCTGCAGAGCGCGTCAGGGACGTCCCGTCGTCGATGCGTGCAGAACTACGCGTTCTCTTTCCAAGGACGGTAGGCGCCATCGTGTTGTGCGGCGGCAAGGTGTGATGCGTGGTTGTGGAAGTTGCGAAGCACAGTGATGGAAGGAGCTACCTAGGTACGCGACAGGCACGCGCGACGCGATATCGCGTTAAGTGCCCCAAGGTTGGCCTAGTGCCACGCCCGCATTCAGCACCACCTAGGCCCATCCGGGCTGAGGCTTCACGGCAAGCACACACCAGGCGAGACCGGCAGTCTTCCATCATGTACTGTCGTAGCGATCCAGCGTCGGTCGGACAGCGCTCAGTGTGTCATCCTGATTCTGTCGACTTGTTTGCTAAGAACCCCTGCGCCTCATCGCGCTCTCCAACGACATCACCCCCGTTTAATGTCTGGTGCACATTTACTGATCCCGGAAAGACGCGCAGAATATGGTCACCACCGCTCCACTGCCACTGCGTTTGCGTGGTACAATTGGGATGCTCTTGGCACTCCACAGTCCTACGGGTGGTGCAAGAAGCAGGGCTGGTACTAAGCGTACGACGTGGGCAATCGGGAAACCTGGTAGCATAAAGGCCTCACACCCAGTGCACATCAATGGCCATCTCTCCCTTTCCCCAGTTCCCGCATCACCCCTCCCGAGCCAACCGCGCGGTGCGGGGCATCGCCAACAGAAGAGCGCGAAATGCCATACCCAACATATCCGTCGTGGTCACATGGCTTGGACTTCTTCCCAGAGGCTTATCCGTACCGCTATACCAGTCGACGATCGTCTCGAAGGTCGCGCGTTCCTCGATGGGCATTTTCAGAGCTCGCAGTAGAGCCATGTTGCGAGTTTTGTGTCTCTCATGACAAGATTGTACGCTACACGCGGGCCACCTGACCCCTCACCGCGCCCGTCTGACCATCTACAGCCAAGTCTAGAGGAAGGTCTGTTTGAGCTGGGGATGATGGCGCCTCCCTACTTTGACCACGTCCTGGAAGCTTACCAGGACATCCACTACCACTACAAGCGTGGTTTCGACCAACATGGCCCTGAACCTTACTACATCTCCCGCGAGATTAGGCGGCTATCAGAGCTGCTACGCAAGCTGTACTTTGCAACAGGTATGCGTGAGCTGGCTTCGTGGTCAAACCAGCTGAAGTACATGAGAAGCGACGTACAATTGGGACCCGGGCATCGTCAGCTGAGCACACTACCGAAGCACCGGCATAATTCTTGGTTCCTGCATTAGCGGATGGGGTGATAGATGCAGGCGCTTGGCCTGGCGGTGTTGTGCTCGACGAACTCATGTTGAACGCTGTATTTTTCCGTAGACATGGCCTGCACCCTCCTCAGGCAACCTGTTGCGGTGTACGTAAAAATGTTCGCTGCTGCCTGGTGCTGCTGTTTTGGCGATACAGCCGTCATGACGTCAAAGTGAAAGACCGGCGGAAGGTCGCGGTGACCGTGGAATTGTCCCGCTTCCTTTACTATAGTCCGCACGCGCTTGTTATCTTGGCCAAAGGAAGCAACGATTGCTCCATACTTTTCGACTTTCTATTCCAGATCTAATGTCCCCACAATCACAATTGCACGTTGTTTGAGCACATTTGCGTACCTGAATATGTTCGACTACAAATCGAACCCTCTCTTACCTACGAACATGGCCATCCCACAAGACTCCGCCACTGCAAATCGGCCGTCAAAAACCAACGGCACACAGCTAGCACTCGAAGAAAATAGCGACATCGCGCGAATCAGAAATTGTCTCCAAGGTGGCGCAGACGCAGCCGAGGTCGCATCGGAAGGATACCGCGTCTGTCGCATCAACGCCTTTCTTCGGCGCGACCTTCAACAAGCCCGCAATGGGATTCGTAAGAACCGCGTCGACAGACAGACACAATCTGTTCAAGAAGATGCTCTCAAGGAACTACGTGATGAGTTGCCCGCAACGCGCCAGATGCTCGAGCGCCTCTGGGGTTTGCTCGAGCAGCGGAAGGTCAAGATACCCGACGACGTCAAGGCCGACTATCAAGCGCTGAAGGCCAAGGACTCGCATGACTGGCAGCCCCGGCAGAGGGTCAGGACAGTGAAAAGCGTAGTGGCAAAGGGCAAGAGAATCGAAAACCCCAAAACGAAGACGGAGAGGAAGGCTGAAAGACAGCGGGTCGATAAATTGCACAAGCGTCTCGAAGAAGGGAAAGCCAAGCAGACCAAGTTTCTGTTACACACCCCAGACGGCGAAATGTACGACGCACGGCAGCCTGTCCTTATTCCAGACGAAGCTGGAGACGAGGACGTTGCCGACGAGCAGATGACAGCGGAAGACGCGGCAGCCATCGAACATGCCGACTTCATGAAGAATGGCAGTTCTTACCGACCCCGGGCGCTTACTCCACCGTCTGGGCTTGTCGCGAAGAACGTCGTTGCGGGAGTCAAGCGCAGGTCAAGCGATTCGAATCCCTTTGCGACACTCAAGATGGGCCAAGGTTGATGATGGCGACGGAGCCACTGACAGTTGGGTGAAATAGAAGGCGTGTTCGTGTCGCTCGCCGAGAGCCAGTTGGGATGAGTTTTGTTACCATCAGGGGGTATGGAGGTCTTCAAGATATCTTTGCCATGAAAACGGGCTATGATATTGCCTGGCTATGTACTAGTGGTGTTCTCAGCCAGAGGCAACCGCGTCTATCTTGATAGTAGACTCATGGCTTTCCTCATGACACGACATATCTGAGCCCCGAACTACCTGCATATTCTGACATTGGCCTTTGTCCTCGAGGACGTGGTCTGCGCAACTTTACCAAATGGTAGTATTTTGATGATGAGCTCATCTCATTTGGCTCCTGGCGTGGACAAACAACCCCGACCCCGCAGTGCATTTCTTACTGAAAAATATGCTGGGAATTATGCCGAAGTTACCCACGCATGCGATTGATGGATGATGAACATGTGCGTCTCCACACGTGCAGCCGATCGATTTGTTTGCTTGTTTGCTGAATAGCAGCGTCTCGCCTTGTTGATTTCACGCTCGTCTCCAATGAACACCAGCATCTACTGCCACTGTGCCTGAGTGTCTCCATTATTTCTTTGTTCCAGTCTTCGCAAGCCAAAATCAGCGAGACTGCCTGTTCAGACGCGGCAATGTCGTGTTATCAAGGCATTCGCACCGCAGCACGCGCCCGGTTCTTTCAAGCGAGGCCACTTCAGACACAGGGCGGGAAGGGGTGGTCACATCGATGGTTGAGGTAGCCCGCCGAGCAAAGTGCACTCGCGTCGTCGAGAGCCTCCTCGACATCGACCCGTCCTACCAGAAGATCACTCAAGCTGTGGATTCAATGTCCAAGATGTGACTGGCTCGATGGGTCCGATATCATGTCACCTCCGGGTTTCTGTTTAGGGCTTTTGGTCCGTAGTGCTTGACTTACGTGAGGAGGGCCTATGTCATCGCCTGCCCAGGTGGGCGCCTGTTGGCACCATTGCGCGCCAAAGCAGAAACACGGTGCACGCTCGCTCCGCTTTCGCGAGCAAGGAAATTACCATGCTGACATATCGCGCGATGCGTCATATCACTACATGCAAGCTTCCAGTTGTGCAATGTACTCCTATGTACTCATCCTTCATTTGCACTTCCGCACGTCCTATCAGGCAGGGGTCGCACGGGCTGCTCTGCCTTTACCCCTATGAGTTTGACAGCTGCGTACAGTCCCCCCCCCCAAGTCAGGGTGCCTGGTGTTGTTCGGACTCTCTTTGTAAGATCCGTACACCCCATAGACGCTAGGCACCCGAACCAGAGGGGAGAACTGTACTGACAGTGGCCAAAAACGAGTGCCAGGCCCACACGGATGAACGGCACCTCTTATGACGTCTCGTCACTCACCACGGATAAGTATTGCGAGGCTCGAGTAGGACGCCAGCCTAGCCGATTATGCGCCGAGTTGAACAAACGGCTGCGGGTTCGAGCATAGCGTAGGTTTCACTTCCCGGCCAGCTGTTAGTTCCGTTCAACGGTGCAGGAGGATCTGCGGCCTACCTGCAGGCTGCGGAACGTGCCATGACTTGGCGCGCAAGAACCTCGGCCTCCACGCGAAGCGCTAACGGTTTGGGCGTCAGCAATTTGGAGACGCGGAGATGAACTCGACGGTGCGGTGCGCGTTTAGGAATGCCAACTCCATCGAGCGAGGAAAGAAGCCACTTGACTGTCTTGACACTGCTAATCTGGAGCTCAACTACACCCATGGATTCCACGCGCAGCCAAAGCGGTAGTGAGCGCATTCCAGCTTGCCCAGGTGGTAAGATGTTTGCGACCTGGAGTATCAGCCTCGACGAGACATGGTGAGACGATTGTCTTGTCGGGCGTGCAAGGATTAGCGACGGAACATTGTCACTGTCGCCGAACACGATCTGTCGCTTGCAGGTGCTGCAATACCACGCCTGTGCCACATCAGGCCATGTAGACGGAGAAGGACGGCGACTGGTGCCGGACAAACGAGAAGAGCCAGCAGCCGATCGTAGTGGTAATTTCCAAGGCTGCCCACGAGCTGGTGGGTCACCAACTCCCAGTGCGTTGCCCGCTGGCTATCAGTCTTCTCGTGAACTGCGTCTCGAGATGCTCCACAGCGCCCCATCCCGAGTGCATCTCGCTTTCGAACATCTCATTCGGCGGCGCCAAAGTCATCGCGGTCTTGAGTTACCATGCATCATGCTACAACTCGCAACCAGTTCTGAAATGCTGATGATACCTGTCTTCTCGTACCCTCTCCTCCAGCCATATGATATTTGGAGAGTTGACTTTGCGTATATATCCTGATGCCAACAGTATACAGCAAAGGCAGGCTCTCATTGCCTTTCCATTTACGTCTCTTACTTTCAATCAATATTTCAAGGTTTGCCTGCAGACAATGGCACCAACCACCAGATCCGGATCTGGATCTGGATCAAGTCCAATCCCAAACAGCCATGCACGACACAGCTTGGCTTCTCAACCTGTCAACGATTCAGCCCAAAGTCATGGTAGCCGACGCGATGTACCACAGGTGCATTCTCCCGCCGTAGACAACGTGCCAATAGTCCACCACACCCCTGCACTCCATGTACAGCGCATGCTCCATGTCCGTATTCCACGAAAGGCCACCGTCATGCCCAACCGATTGCTGGAGGAGCGAATCATAGCGCCACAAAAGCAAAAGAATCAGAAGCGATACCAGGGCCTGGTGACCAAGCACAAGTACCGACTCGGCTCGCCAAGGTTCAGGATCTCGAGGCGCATTAGAGACCCAGAGTGCTGGGAAGTGCTTACGCGAGATACTGAAGTTGTGGGTCCTAAAGGGTGTTGGGTTGCGAAAGGAACGCCGACTTTGGAACGCCCGTTCGGGAGTGCTGCCAACGCGTACCGCGTATACCACGTCGATCGCAAATGTCTCAACGAGAAGCTGAAAGGCGAGGTAGCATACACCCACCTTGCTATGAATGTCATGGGCTTCAGGTGGGCGCTCAAGTTCACGACGATAGTGGGAGATGTGCCCCAGCAGTTCGAAGTGTCACATCTTTGCGGTCACTCGCATTGTTATCGGCCGTCCCACCTGGTGCTTGACTCACATCAAGTCAACTTGCGACGATCGCGATGCTCTGGCCATGGCTGTACCCATGCACGCGGACGCGGCCAGAAATGCTTCGGCCACGAGGAATGTCCTGAGTTCTGCCCGGAGCGTTTGAAAGAGGTGGAGCGGCAGTTGAAGCGAGATGGCCACCGGCCTGACAAGTGCGACTATGCAGAGATAGTGGAGTAGTGGAGGCACGCACGCACGCCACTGATATGTCTGAAACACCGCATGTATTGTTACCTTGTTGTTGATCTACTCTGCATTAGAATCAATATCGTTCGCAGCCGCACCGAAGGCAATCCCTTACTGAATGTCGAAGCCAATTGCATGTTGCCTCCAAGCAGTAGCCCGAGCACTGATAGCTTCAGGAGAGACTTGCTAGCCGAGAACATCCCGTCCCCTGCCAATGCTGCAGTGCTGGAACCTGTGTGGCTTGGCTATCACAGTTCGACGCACGGTAAGTTCCTGAAGGGCCGATATCAGCATGGCGGCGTGACGCATTGTGTAAGCAGCTATGACAATTAAACTGGTGCTGTTTATAAAGCTTTGCCTGTAGTCCCGTCCTAATGTCCTACTTTCCCCAACTTTATCGTAACCTCTACTTTCTTCTCTTCTCATCCTACAATGAGAGTTTACAACCTCAGGTCTCGGTGCTCTCCCCCAGCGCCACTTCGAAGCCCTCAGTCTCCGAAGTCGCGCAAGTCTCCGCGCGCGTACAACATCAGGTCTCGGCGCTCTCCCCTAGCGCCACTTCGAAGTACTCAGTCTTTGGAGTCGCGCAAGCCTCCGACGTCGCGCAAGCGTCCTGGCCCGACCCCAAGGGGGAAAGACCTCACAAAGCCCGTGGGGGATGACGAAGCGACCGGCTACTCTCTGAAGAACCTTCCGCCCCTTCGTCTAGGGATGATGCCCGAAGACTTCGTCAAAGAGGTGAAGGCCCAGAAGCTCAGGCTCCTCCGCTTTGTGCCTGATTCCCACGACTGGCTCCAGCAACACCTGTCCACAATCGAGTTCACGGATTGCGAGTTGGAGATTTCTAAGAAGAAGCCTACTCGCAGAGACGAGGAGCGGATTCTAAAAGAATTACAATTGCCATTCAACTTTGACAATTCGGACTGGCCCGGTGTGAAGTCACAGAAGAGCCAGAAGTTGAGAGCTCTAGATCAGCTCACTAAGGAAGAACGTTGGGAGTTGTTGCTCAAGAACACTGTTGTGTCGGGTCCTAACGGCTGTTGGCACGTGGGGGATACAGTTCACTTTCAGTATCCATCAGGTTTTCGGGCGAAATCTCACCCGATGAAAAAGGTAAGCATTGATTCTTTTCAAGCGCGCTGAAACATGGCCATGTTAACTTCCTACTAGCTATCGGGCATCGAGTTGAGTTTGCACGTTATCGCGGCCAGCTTGGGCATATACGCCCCTTGGATCAAGTTTACGATGGACTCTCAGATTCTCAAAGGTCATGGGAAATGGGATGTTTCGCACCTTTGTGGACATGGTCACTGCTTCCGCCCGTCCCATCTAGTGATCGAGATGAGCAGCACCAACCAGCGTAGGCGGGACTGCAAAGGTGGCGAGACATGTCGATGTGGTTACAGGGAGGGCACGCCTAAATGCTTCGGGCACGAGGAATGCCCGGATACCTGTCCCGTGCGTTTGCGAATGTTGCTCAAGAAGAAGTGGAAGAACGATGATTGGGAGCGAGCGCTCGACATACAGGAAGCTGGTGGTGCTAAAGCCAAGGTTCGATGTCGGGTGGTAGACCCCCTCTGGTACAGGGATCTCATTGCGTACGAAGAGGCATTGGCAAACCCTATTCGATCGTCCAAGAGGAAGAGGAAAGCGAATGACGAACCCGCGGAGGAGCCCAAGAAGAAGGCTAATACAGCCACAACAAGGGCGCAACGTCGGGTTTCCAACAGGAAAACCAAGTTGCGACGCCACTGATGGAAAGGATTTGTTGGCAGAATAGTTCTCTTTCTCTTTGTATTATTACACAATTCATGCAAGCTATCCAAAGTCTCCTCACGATCCTCCAACGTCCAAGTCCGCCGTGAAGTCTTTTCGAATCGTCAAATTTTCGAAGGTTTCTTGATTTTCAATGACCAGGCCTTGTTCGTTGGCCAGATGCAACAAACAAATAAAGCAGTAGCTTGTGGAGATATCAGCCAGGGTTTGTTTTGGGTAGACGGCCTGTAGGCTGTTGACAACGTCGGTAAAGGTCAACGAACCATCCACGGCCTTGTTTGCTGGATCGTCGGCAACATTGGGCTGAGGAGGCGCAGAAATCTGATGGTTGTGAGCTTGCGAGTCAGATGAAGACGGCTAGATACAACTTACGCCATCGAACCCGATACCCCGCCAGAGTTCGTCCTTTAATCTTTTCACGTCCACCTTCTTTGCGACCCTTGCGTACTGGACGTATTCAGGCCGAAATCGTCGGCTTTGCGTCACTAGCTGAGCACCGAATGCGTCGGTCTGCGAACCCGGTTGCATGCCGTCGAGTGGTAGTGTAGCTTCAGGTGCGTCAGGCGGCGGCGAGAAGTGATCGCGCGCATCTGCAAACACATCGTCATCGTCGAGAGGGCCACTAGGTATCTGGAGACCATCATCCTGGAAAAAGTCGGCGTCGTAGTTTCCCTGTGCATCGTCACCGTCGCCTTCTTGACCCTGGTGAGCCCAGTATGCTTCGTCCACGCGTGCTGAATCTCCATGGAGTGCATGTGCACGGCGTCCTCCCTTGCGTGAGCCCATACGCGCCTTGGGTTTAAGGAAAAGACGCAGCAGCTGTTTGGAGTTGAAGTGCTTGTCGTCTGGGAGAAGGTTGCGCGACCTGGACTTCCATTGTGCTTTGGGTAGAGATATCGCGGAGTTGGATGTCGCAGGCGTGTAGAGCACATCTGCTAGTGTCTGCGTCATTGGAGCTGTGAAGTCGATCTCGAATGGCTCCCTTTCCTTCCGTTTCGTCGCCGGTGCTGTCTTTGCGGAATGCTTGACGCGTGAGATGCGCCAATGCTCAGGCCCTGCCCAGCTCTTCTTAAGAGCTTGGTCAAAATAGCTAAGGATGTTCTCTTGTTCTTGGTCGCGGCCGTGCATCATGGACACGCCATACTGAGCGTCGGCACTGTTTGTGTTCTCGTCGCCATTCAGGTCCATGGTGTGGATGCGAGCTTGTGGATGCTGGATAGCCTCACGAGCCCAGATCTCCCCGCCTTCGCCAAAGCCCGTCTCTGGAGGCAGATCAAACCCGCCCATATTCAGGTCATGATCGTCGTCAAATTCCATGGGGTTATCGTCGCCGAGAAAAAGACCTGATTGGCTGCCTGCGTTGTCGTCTCCGTGCTTGGCTCCGTCTTCACCGGAGGAGTTGTCAGCAGCCTTGAGGAAGGGAAGGTCCATAGAGCCATTCACATCGCCGAGATCGAACGTCTTCATCGACGGACACACGTCTTGCCGGTCGAGCTGGGAAAGATCGTGGAAGTACTTGGCAGTCAGGCCGGATATGTCAACATCGATGGCGTCGGGGGCCAGTTGATGGTCATGAGTGGGGAGTGAATCTTGGGTGGCGGCATCGTTGGCGTCATCGCTGCTGTCGAAGACAATCCTGCCGCTCCCGTCTATAGCCAGGTGGTTAAGAAGGAGTCCTTTGGCCCCGCCCTCGTCAAAGTCGGCCGAGGCTTTTTTGAAGAGCGGATCAACCGAGAACTCGAGCTCCATCTTCTTGTTCTGCAGTTGGGCAAAGGACGACGCGAGCGTGGCTTCTGCAGAGCGAGCAGCCCTCTTCTTGCGCTTCTTCTGGCCATGCTCTCCGGCTTCAGCCTCCTCGCCGTCGCCCTCGTCCTCGTCGCTCCCATCGGCATCGTCGCCGTGTCCTCTCCGCTTCTTGCCCACATTCTCGGCGAGTCCGCTGAGCAGCTTGCCCGTGTCGGTCGCAACGCTGTCGACTCTGCTGGTGTAGATCTTGACGCAGCCGTCTAGCGTGCAGCTAGCCTTCTGGAAGTTGACGCCGTCGCCCTCTTTGAGCAGGGACATTTCGTGGAAGTAGTCGATGAGGGCGAAGTTCCACGAGTTGTTCGCGTTGATTTTCTGAGCGGGGCGTTAGCTTGGAGCAGCGACGACGGGCGTGCGCATGCCTACGTTGTCCGTCGCCATCTTCATCCATTCCTCGAAGTTGGCCAGCAGGGGCATAATGTGGGTGCCCGGTGTGACAGCCGTGCCAGTAACATCGGGCATGTCGTCGCCATCTTGCGACGGGGTGCGTGGCGTGTCGTGGGCGGCGGCAAGCGACACGCGGCGGCGTCCGGGAGTCGCAGTCGTAGTCGAGGCGCGCATCGAGTCGCGCTGGGCCTGTTGGTGCGCATGGCGGCGGGCAGCCTTTTCCTGGCGGTCGTCGTTGAGCGGCACTCTGCGAGCGACGGGTTAGCCTAGCAATGCGCCCGCGCGGAGCGTTGGGGCCTACCTGACGGGCGTCTTCTGGGGCGAGGCGGCCGTGGTATACTTGGTGGAGCGCGCCATGCTGGGCGATGGGTGTGGTGCTGCAACAGCCGTTCTGGCGTCGATGCCATGTTGCTGTTGTTTGTTTGGGCGCCACAGATGCCCCGCCGCTATCACCAGACAGGCAGCGGTAGCACCGCCACGCGCTAGCGCAGTGGCGGCATTTCCCCGGACCAGCCGCCAGCCCAAACGCTTCACGCACCGCCCTCCGCTGGCTCGCCGCCCGCTGTGCCTTCACGCCTCGCACCGCCTAAAACCCGTCTTCTCCTCGACTCGTCAACCAACATGCCTCGGCCATGGACGACCTGACCATCCTCGCCCACGCCCAGCGGTTGCGCCGCCCCCGCTACTCGGCGCGCCCCTTCGCCCTCACCATCCTCGCCATATCCCTCATTTCGCTGCTGGCATGGGCCCGGTCGCAAGCCCCAGCCGGGCGTGCTCTGCACACGAGGGGGGCCGTCTCGACCAAGGACGCCGAGTGCCGCCTCGTCCACCATGCGCTGGACCAATGCGACTTTGTGCGCGCAAACTGCCCCGATGAGGAGGCTGGCGTCATGTCCTACCTCGCCCTCTACTACTGCCGCCTCCCGCACGCGAAGCCCGTCGCTTTTGTCCTGCTGACGCTCTGGCTCGCCCTCCTCTTCAGCACCATTGGCATTGCCGCAAGCGACTTCTTCTGCATCAACCTCAACACCATAGCGCGCATGCTGGGCATGAGCGAGAGCCTGGCCGGCGTGACCCTGCTCGCCTTTGGCAACGGCAGCCCCGATGTCTTCTCCACCTTTGCCGCCTTCCGCACCCACGCTGCCAGTCTGGCTGTCGGCGAGCTTATCGGTGCTGCCTGCTTCATCACCGCTGTCGTCTCGGGCTCCATGGCCCTGATCCGCCCCTTTCAGGTTGCGCGCAAAAGCTTTGTCCGTGACGTCGGCTTCTTTCTTGTTGCTGCTGCCTTTAGCATGGGCTTCATTGTCGACGGCAAACTCCACCTGTGGGAGTCCGTTAGCATGGTGGCCTTCTACATCTTCTACGTCGCCTTTGTTGTGGCCTGGCACTGGTGGCTCAACCTACGGAAAGCCCGACGCGCGCGAGCAGCCGCTGTTAGGAGCCACTACGTAACACCCGGCGGTGAAGAGGAGGAGTTTCCAGAGTACCACGACGACGAAATCAGCGCTGCTTCTGCGACCCCTGCGTACGGCGCCTCCGCTGACGACTTTTCCATGCTCGAACGCGCAGGAGGCGACAATACGATACATGACGATGACAACGAGGAGGAACGTGAGCGCTGGATGGGCGAGTTGACCAACAATATGCGCGTCAACCGCCCAAGCGTGTCGCGGCGCAACACCCATACCCCGATCCGACCCAGTTTAGTAGGAGCTTTGGAGTTCCGAGCCGTACTTTCCTCACTGCAAAAGTCGCGCAACATCCAGTCTATGCCAATCAGCCTGCGACGGTATTCCGACGACCCTACCTACACTACTGCCCAGCAGCAATCCTACATCGGACAGACTACAGGTCCAGCGACTCGGCCTCCATTTGACCTGCCTTCTTCTGCCTCCAACATCTCCACCTCACCCCACCTGAGCCGACCGAATCTCGAGATCCAGCAGAGTCTAGGCAACCGAGCGCGAGCTGTCTCCACCAATGACATTGACAATGTCCAACTACAGCCAAGCACCCTGCAAGGACAATGCGTGCCTGACATAACATTTGCGTCTGCCACTCCCAGCGAGCGCAACGGATTGTTGGAAGCGCCGCCCTCACCAACTATCTCGTTATCTTCGCCAGTCTCCCGCTCTTCTAGAGCCCCGAGTCCTACGGCACCGAGAGATAGGCTGCTTTCACCCAACAATTTGGCGCCTCCAGGTGCCGAGGATGGAGCGCCCCTTCGTGTAGTCCTGCCTTCGCCGAATCTACGATCAAGCCCGGCATCAAACTCCGGCCATAGCCGCGAACAGCCTAGTCTGAAGCTGGCCGTACCAGATGCGACTTCCCCACCCATACCATTCCCGCCTTACACCGATTACCCTTGGTCAGCACAGTCCACTTCCAGACCTCAGAGTCTACGTCCGCCTTCGCCAAGTGTATCACTCGAATCTACCTACTTCCCACGAGATTCCTTTGGGCAGCTCGAACCAACAAAAGTTCCCACGTGGTGGCCCTCGGCACTCCTACCGACCCCGCATAGTCTGGTTGCTACCCTCTTTCCCACTTTGACCAACTGGCGTGACAAGAACGTTTTCGATAAGCTTTTGGGGCTAGTCGCAAGTCTGCCTGTATTCCTGCTTACTATAACGCTTCCGGTGGTCGAGCCGCAAAAAGACGAGAATGACGGAGGCCATGCCCAGCTTTCCCTGGATCTCGGTATGCCACACGCAGCTACACCAGGTGATGCAAGCATGAGATCGCAAACTCCCAGTGTATCCCTTGTCTTGCCACGAGACGACCCCACC